CGCCACCCCCACACACCGCCCCCACCACCCCCTTCAGGCCTGCCTGTGTGTTTGGCCCAGCAAGGGGGTCTGGAAAAGGAGCGTGGGCCTCTATTCAGGCCGTGGCCACGGCCGGCCCCTGTGAAACCAATCCGGGCGCTCTCAGCCGCTCGCCGAGTCCAATTAGCGCTTTGTGGGGACTTGTAGTGCACTTGTCCCACGGGGCCTCCCGGGTGCCGTCGTGAAGGACGGGACACCTCGACGCCCGCCCAAACGCCTTCCAGCTCACTGACTGAACTTCAATCCAAAGAGATACGAGCGGTTCCCGAAAAAGTGACACTTCTATGCCAGATAGCAACTGAGGAGCAACAACTGCCATCTTGAACTTGTTATGCAACAGAGAAAAGACTTGGAAACGTTTTCTTTGTTTATTGAATGCTGTTTCAGAACTAGACAAAAATGGACTTTTGAGTCAACAAAAAACACCTTGTTTTCTCGCAGGGTGTGATCTTCACCAATTGGATAATTCTGCAGATGTGCTACCCACTCGTCCACCGTGCTTTAAATGTTTGAAAAAAGTAGGAAGTGCATATGCATGGATATGCATATGCTGCCCGAAAAAAAAATATGGCGAACACCGCCCTCCTGTGGAGAAAAATGTGATTGCAAGGCTATTTTGTCCATTCTGCTTTGCCATACCGTGTCCAGTCACGTGAGTATGTACACAGGAAGAGCGCGTCCGTCGATTCGGTTAAAAAAAAAAAAACAAAACAAAACGAGGCAAAATTAATCTCGTTTACAGAAATTAAACAAAAAAAAAACATTTAATGATTGTACCTTAGGGGACAAGTGTTGAACAAGGATGCCGTTTGTTTGTTTTTTATTTTCAGGTTTCATTCAAGTTTAGCTTCTGATTTGCCGTCGCTTAGTTTAACAGCAGCCCCGAGAAGGTTGACGCGCTTTGGAAGCTCAAATAGCACCCAAACTGAGGTCCAAGTCGCCACTTGGCCAAATTTCGTCGCTATGAGGTCTCTGAATTACGTGCAGCGTGTTAGTTTGGACTTCTCGGGCACGCTCTTTCCTCACGCCATCTGCCTGGGAGATGCTGACAACGACACGGTAAGCGCATCTTCACGGGGGAGTCTTAAGTCAATCACGTGCACTATATACGTCAACTTCCTATCAGCCTCCTCTGATGTTCTTTTCCCAAGACTTGACCTCTTTCCAACCTTCCTTTCGTCAGATTCACTTGTTATTCATGCATCCTTCAATCGACGTTTCTGCATTCCTCCACTCCTTTTTCAGACGTCCCTTTTTTTCCTTCTTGACTTTCCTGGATCCCTCCTGCCTTCGTATCTACTTTAGTTTTGCTGTTAATCCTTCCTTCCATCACTTTTTCTTCATTCCTTCTCTCTCCCTGTTTCCTTCCTTTCGTCCTTCACGCCTCCCTTCTCACGTGTCGTTCCTCTGCCATTCCTTCTCCCCTCTCTCCATTGCTCCCCCTTTCTTCCTCCCACCGGCGCTCCATCCTTTCCTCCTTCAGTTCTTCCGCTCCCTGCTTTTTTCTTCCCTATCTTCTCCTTCCCATCTTCTGTTCTCCTCCCATCCATTCTCTCTTGAACTGGCTGCCTAAATGTGTTTTGAGATTTTCCTGTCAGCGTTTGAGACAATGCATCCTTGTGTGTCCGTAGCTCAACGAGCTTGTGGTGGGCGACACGAGCGGCAAGGTGCACGTGTACAAGAATGACGACAGCAAAGCATGGATCACCAGGACCTGCGCGGGCATGGTCAGTCAAATCGAGTCGTTTTGTTTTTGCATTTCCGATCATTCGTTATTTCTCAACGGGGAATTCCTTTTGTCGGTCAGCTGACGTGCGTCGCCGTAGGAGACGTGTGCAACAAGGGGAAGGTAAGTCCGAGGCCGGCGTGCGGCTCCTGGCCGCCGAATGCGCGCTAATGAAAGGTACCGGCTCAGAACTTTGTGGTGGCCGTGGGAGCGGAGGGTTGGTTCCACCTGTTCGACCTGAGCGCCGCCAAGGCCGACTCGACGAGTCAGCACGAAAGTTTCGCCGTGGACGAGCAGAAGCCGTTCTTCACGCAGCACATCCCTGCTAACACCAGAGTCATCCTCATCAGCGATATCGGTACTCGTTCAGCTGCCGCGCAGAGCATTTACAGCCTTGACTAATACGTTGATGCATTTGTGCAGCCATTTGACCCTCAAATTGGTGAATGAAAATGTTTCTATTCGTTACAGACGGCGATGGCCGCAGCGAGCTGGTGGTGGGCTATACCGACCGAGTGGTGCGAGCGTTCCGATGGGAAGAACCTTCAGATGCTTCCGACTCGGGGTCCGGTCAGCTGGTCCTGCTCAAGAAATGGCTGCTGGATGGACAGGTTCCACCTTTTGCCTTTTTTGAAATCTCAAACATTTTCCTGCAAATGGAGAAGTTGTCCGGCTTACTTAACCTGTTGTAGATAACAGCCATGAATGTCAAGATCTGACTGTGTTCGGTGGGGAGAAGTAGTGCTGCTTCCTGGTGGACGAAAATAGTATTTTCAATAGGACGCTTGGGTTTGCAGGGATTTTTTTCATTTGGTTTAAGGAGCAAAGATGACAACCGGCGAACAAAATGTCCGTCGCATTTGTTTCAGGTGGACAGTCTGTCGGTGAACCCGGGTCCCGAGGGCCTGCCGGAGCTCATGGTGTCCCAGCCCGGCTGCGGCTACGCCATCTTGCTCTGCTCCTGGACGCAGCAGGACTCGCCGGCCGCCTGCGACGACCACCACCACCACGGCGACGAGGACGCGCCCGCCCCGTCCGGCAGGTACCAAAACTCGGCCGAGATCTCGCCATCATGTCGACAATTTGGTCACGTTGATGGCTTTTCAGTGAGGGGCCTTCACAAGATGTCATTCTTCATCTCACCACCGGGCGGATCCACAACAAGAACGTTTCAACACATCTCATCGGGAGCATCAGCAAAGGTGAAACTCGTTTTTTCGACGAATATCACAACCGTCACTGAGGCAAGGCACTTTTCTTTTACATTCGTGACCAAAAAAAAAAAAGGTGGTACTCAATAGATGATGTGAATGAGAAGCAAATGATTTGGATTGGATTGGATTTTTCCTCAGCGTATCAGCTTTTCATTGGTGTCATGTCATTAACAGGCTCGAAAGAGGAGTCCTCCAAATGTGGCCTCTTTGCTCTCTGCACTTTGGATGGTAAGAGCATCAATAATTGATGACGAGTGGGATGATGCGACCTACCCCAAGGCTTCCAGTGTGCGCTACGTTCAAATTAGACCACGGGATTCAAATCGAATGTCACCCGGGGGAGCGCCGACCTCTGCCAAAGCCAAATAGTTCTCATTTGGATGCAGCTGTACAAGTCATCTTGTGAATTTTGATGTGATGAGAAATGAAGAGAAAAGGCCAGTTGTGAGGCGTTTCTTGGAAATGTTCGTGCTTTTATGCAAGGAGAAATTGAGGAACGTGTGCTCAAATGGCAAATGGAAGGTGTAATTGTGTGCTGCAGGGACGCTGAAGTTGATGGACAGTTCCGAGCAGCTGCTGTGGTCGGTGCAGGTGGACCACCAACTCTTTGCCCTGCAGAAGCTTGATGTCACGGTTGTGATTTTTTTTTTTCTCTCCTCACTGAAAGAAAGCAACTAAAGGTTTTGATTGTTGCAGAGGGACGGGCGCGAGGAGGTAGTAGCGTGCGCCTGGGACGGCCAGACGTACATCATCGACCACAACCGCGCGGTGGTGCGCTTCCAGTTTGACGAGAACGTCAACGCCTTCTGCGCTGGTGAGGAAGGGCCTCCACCACATGTTTTTTTAAGTTATTTTTGGGTTATTTCATCAAAATGAGAAAAAAAAAATAAGCCACCTCATTCTACCAACAGGTAGCAGCAGAGAGCCTACGCTCTCAAGCCAATAACTTTGTGTCAAAACTAGATCATTCGAATGGCGATTAAATGCAAATGAACTAAAACGCAAAGCAGTTATTTTAATTGTCCATTAATAAACTAAATTCTCAAATATAATATTCAATGGTCAATTCATTTTTTTTAAAGAAGAGCTGAAGAGCTCATTAATTTTTCCGTGTTGTTTTTTTGTTTTATTTGTGTGTGTGTGTGTGTGTGTGTGTGTGTGTGTGTGTGTGTGTGTGTGTGTGTGTGTGTGTGTGTGTGTGTGTTTGCGCGCGCAGGTCAGTACACGTGCAAGGAAGGCAAGAACAGCCCGTGTCTGGTCTACGTCAGCTTCAACCACAAGATCTACGTTTACTGGAAGGTGCAGCTGGAGCGCATGGAGTCCACCAACCTGATGCGCGTGCTGGAACAGCGGCCCGAGTTTAGACATCAGCTGGCGGCGTTGGGGGTCGGTGAGTACATGGCAAAAATAAATAAATAAAAGGTCAGGCGCTTACTCGACGGAAGTGCACCTGAATGAACAACGGGCCCCAGAGAAAGTGGTCTGCTTGTTGGCAGGGAGAGAGAGATAGAAAAGAGTCCTGTCTCAGGTTGTTTCAAAACGGACACAAGGAAATCAGAGTGGATCGAAAATGCTTCTTCACCCTTGTTCAAAGGCCAGGTGTTTGCGGCATAAAAAAAAAAAAAAACACGCAAACAAACGCAAAGTTCCGCCATTCATCTGACCAACTGTATAACCTCTGCAACACATTTGAAAAGGGGATGTTAACATTAGCAACAAAAAGAAAATTGCACAAGTGAGCACACCCTCTTCTAACTGGAGACGTGACCAAAAATAAAATAGACTGAGTTCCGTGATATTTCGTGCCTTGGAAGTTATTTTGTGCCCTTCTCCTCGTCCCTGGCTCCCCCCGCTGCCTCAAGAGGGCAGCGCCGTAACGTCGGCCCCTAAGAGGTGTTTGCTTGTCGCCCCTCCTCTCCACAGGTGGCGAAAACCCGGCGGCCGTCAGATCGCTACTGTCAGACGTTCTCTACAAGGACGCGCACTGATCTTCTTGGTCGTCTTCATTTTGTCCGCACTCATAAATGCTTGGCGACATGCCTTCTCCTCCTCCTCATCCTCTGAAAAAGCCACCGTCAATCAAATGTGACAGGCCGCTGGAAGCGCTTCAGTCACTTGGCGCCGCCTCTGCCTTTTTCACCCGTCAATCTTGTTTGCCTCCAACACGTGTCAGAAGCTCCCTCATTCATCCTCCTCATTTGGGAGGATTCCGTCGGCGCCCTCCCTGCTCCTTGGGGAAAATGGAGGCCGATTGGCAGCCCGCGCGCCCTTCCAGCACAGTGACAAAATAACAATGCTCGTCTCACGTTGACGTTTCTTTGATGTCATGTCGACACAAACGCTATAGGCGTCACTTGCCGTGCGGCGCCAGCAGACCGGAGAGTCGTGCGCGCGCCGCGACCGACAGCCGGCAAACCAGTTTGTTCGTTTTCATTCATTGGTTTGGATTCATTTATCAAGAATACAAATCAAAGAGCCGAGCAAGACTCTCCTTGGCTTGGTTTGGCGGCCCAGTGAGTCGGTTACGTAAGCTTGATCCGATCGGCGGTGACAGGCAGCTGCGCCTCTTGCCTCAAGAACCTCATCACATGACACCGCCGCAATATACTGACCAGCCCCCCGTCACAGCCCAAAAGCAAGCCTCATCGTTTTACTAGTCGGCAACAAAATGAGCATCGTTAGCGTTGTAAATGCAACATTTCTCTTTTGCTTTTTTGCGCAAATTAAAAAATGATCACCGCTTCAAGGCAGAGTGTGCTTTTTTTTCCCCCCTGATCAAATTTGAATTAATTACTCGATTCATCATTTCATGCAGGAAACTTCACAGCAATTTTGATAGGGGCCCAACCGATTAATCGGCCTGTTGATTTCATCAGCGGATATTGGCTCGTTTCTCTACACGGCAACACGTAAGACAAAGATAATAACATTCAACCCCCTCCCAAACACACACACACAAAAATCATCCAATTTTTCTCTCTGTTGTAAAATTAAACACCAAAGGACAACGTTTGTTAAAAGAATCACTTGTTGGGCCTGCCAAATATCAGGCTTCATAAAAATCCATCCACTAAAGATGTGGTAAATCAGGGATGGGCAATTTAAATAATGGAGGGTATGCCATCTTGAATGCGGCACACCCCATGCAGGATGCTCGAGCACCACAATGTTTGTGAAAATTTCAGAGAGCGTGTTTTCATCGTCTGGCTGGCTCGCAGGTCTCTCTCGCTCTCTGGGGAGCGTTACATAAAGGCTCTCTACCAGACGAGCCCATCAGTATTTGCTTCTGTGCTTCCCCGTGCTACACTAGCTGCAAAAGTATTGGGATGCCGACAGGAAAAGAGTTCATATTTTGCTGCTGCTGCTTGTGCAGGTGTGTGTGTGTGTGTGTGTGTGTGTGTGTGTGTGTGTGTGTGTGTGTGTGTGTGTGTGTGTGTGTGTGTGTGTG